AACCGGTCGTGGGCTGTCGATGGATTTTCAGCAACCTTATGAGTAGTACATTACAAAGAGGTAGGCAACCTCATCACGCAAGGTTGAGTTCAACTTGACGAATTTGTCGCAACGTTTGATGACAACACCGGTTGGGCTTCAGCCACAATGGTTAGGATTTCTCATCAGATCTTGTCGGTACTCATACAGCAACAGTGTTGCCTTAAGGCAAATCATTCCTGAGCGATTAGCGGACTATAAAGGATCGAGTATCGTGTCTTCACGAGTGCTCAGAATGCGAAACGAAAAGGACTTGCCGAAAACGTGCAAAGTCCTCTCAGACAGACGAAAATTTAAAGCTGACTATCCACTTTCTACGGAGGAAAATGTTGGTAGCTCAGGTAGCGTAGATGGTGGTCGTTGGCTTGTTCGCTGAGCTGGGCACAACCACCAACCCACCGCTACGCACTACTACGCTCCACAATAACGCACTGATGATGTCACCTCGATTGGTGATGAAACGTTTGCAACCAGCTCAGCGAACAAGCCAATGACTATCCACTCGACAAGTCGCGAAGAGACTTCAGATCTGCAGTTCAACTTTCTTCAGTAATGTTGATTTGTTGTTGACCGTTTGACTCTCGTGTGACTACAATTTGTCCGAAAATTGGACATCTTAAAGATACGAGCTTGTTGTACGCAGTAAACGTCCGACTTCAGTGTGAAGGATAGACGGTGTTGAAATGTCTATTTTGGGAACCCCCCACCTCAGGTCAGTACCTACGCGGTTAAAATGGTTAAAGCAGCAAAAATGGAAGAAGAAATCTGCAAGGCTAGTTATGATGCCTATAACACGACAGACTTGTTCAACGGACAACCAGATGACCGGCAAACTGAAAGGTTAGCTGACTGGACGCCGCAGTGTCTGTGTAATTAGTGGGTGTGTGGGTCACGTGGGACATGTTGAAACTGGCAACCCACTGGGCCTTAGAAAGATGAGTTTCAGGAAATATATCTTCATTTTTGTATAAAGGTAACGGTAAATTGAACGGTTGGATAGTTTCTTTATGCTGTGTTTAATTCCATTCACACAAATACATGTGTCCTGCGAATATGAATCATCTGGCTTTTTTAGACCAAGTATGTGCAGACAAAAGGAAGGTTCTCACAAAAAGCCTAGTCTTCCGAAGTCCATATGGGGCTTTTAGTATCCGGACTTTTCTAGTTCCGCAGGGATGGCACACAAGGACCGTGATGCACAATCCGGGACAGTCAGGAGTTAGGGGCTCCGATTTCCAGTCGCCAACCGGTACAGTGTGATGCAACGCAGTGTTGTGGTGCACAAGTTTGCTGCAACGCCGAAGAAAAATGTGCATGTGGAAAAGCACTGGAGGTTGCGGGGAATGGGCGAGATGGCTCAGTGGTTAGAGCGCCAATTTACTGACCAGAAGGTCCGTGGTTCAGACCCGACCTCTGCCTCTCGACTTTCCCTGTCTAGGCTTGGGCGACCTGGCGGTATCCCAGGCACCAAAAGGGTGCTACAGCGAGTGCGAAGGTACAAAGGCCTAGTGCTATATATTGAGGGGATACTGTCTGACCCTGATCCAAGACTGTCTCGCACTGTCTGACTTTGATTCAGGGCTGTCTGATCGGCATTTTGGTAAAGTTGAGGGTCTCAGTAGGTTTCAGATATTCTATGATAATCTTCGGGGAATGACCTTCCAGATGGAATCCAAAAGGCCCGATTGAAGTTTCATCATTTGCATCATTTGTGGCATCAAAAACGTTTGCCACTACGTCTCAAGGTTTGTGCGTTCCAAGCTGCAATAAGCGCTGGATTGTTGTATGCTTGCGAGTAGTGGCCGATGAACTGAAGCGTCTTCAGGTTTTTGACCACCGCTGCTTCAGAAGCGTTGCCGGTGTCAGATTGCGAACGCTTGGTTATGCAGCGGCTAAATCAGTCGGGGCCGACATCCAGCACCATCAACTGCGGTAGCTCGGCCATGTGCTACTCCACCTTCAGAATGATACTAACTGCGAGGTGGACAACGCATAACTTTGCAGAAGAATGGGAAAGAAATTTCAAAGAGTTTGGGTGCTCCTGCTGTCACCCACCATCTAGGATGAGGTCCCCGTGACCCCCTGCACTCGGTTGTAGACGCTACAGGGAATCGCGGCTATTCCACGCCACTGGCGCTCGTGCTAGCAGTTTCTTTCCAGATTATTTGACTGAAAGTTTGAAGATATAAGTACCTCAGGATACTTGAGATAGGCCGGCACAGGGTCCCTAACTCAGTAAGTCTTTTCTATTTTTTCCGCCCTAGGACTCTACGTACAATTAAACAAACCTTGTGATTCAACTGTAGTGAAGCATCAGCGCCAGCAATGATACCTGTGTCTCCGATGACGATGCCTGCTGCGAACTGGTCACCTGAAATAGCCTTTACAACTGTTGCTGCGCAAACAGAATCCAAAACTTTTCTCTATCAGTGAGACACTGTTGACAAAAATCCATCAACCAGCTCTGTTTTCGAACAAAAAGTTTTCAGACAAAGCAGCTGGTTGTCATGGTCCTGATCACGTGATATGAGCTTCTAACGCCGTAGTCTGTCTGTCCAACGTTGCTACTCACCCCTTTTTACATGTAATTTTCACGTTTTATATTTTGCGGATGAGATGTCAACACCCAGTAACGCATGTCACCTACCCAAACTGATCGTCCTATATATTTGATCAAACCATCTGGTTGACTATACCCTTGAGAAGTAGGACCGGTTTACACATTAATAGAATCAAGTCATCACAAGAATGAAAGATGACCCATGGTCATGATTCCGAGATGTCTGAGTGAAATGAATGCGTGAGACGCAGACTATGAAATGTATTTTGTTACGTACGCACGGCTCTGCGATGGTGGATCAGCAATCAGATGATACTACTGAAAGGCAAAATGTCCTTGAGCGCGTAGTTGTTGCCTGACCAATACGATCAATAAGCGGTTGTGCGCTATTAGACAGAGCGCGAACACTGTCAAGCGTCCTCTTGAACTTTCCTGTGCGTTCTTTAAATATTAGACCAAAATGAACAAGCACTGCGATTCGGTTCCATAATTTCCGAGCTAACCTTCTACCGGGTTGGGTGACGGAGCTTTGCACTTGACCACATACTATTCGCACGTTTCCTTAGTAGTATACAGTCAAACCAGTAATGAATCCGACGGCGCTCCTAACGTGAACTTGTCTGAAGGTTCGCCATATGTTTACTAATATCAAAAACAAAGAGACTGATAGCACCTCGGAAGTGACGATCTCGAATCATTTTGATTTAGAACCCGTCCCACTGAGATGACCGTTTTACCATGGACCTTGCATAGTACATTTTGTGTGATGAGATAGCCAGATTGAACCCTGAATTAGATCATTTTGTCCATGTATCCTGTAGAATAGTAAGCAGCCAGGACAGACAAAAATAAACGGTCAACTGGCAGTGTAATCGTCGGGAACAGTGTCGGAAAAAACGAGGGAAACTTCTAACCTTTGATTGCGATTAGGTTGCACACGGGGCGACGATATCCATGACAACTGACCGAAATGGAATTTGCCGATAAAACTTCGAGGTCCTTGGGATCTGAAAGCAAAAAGGCATGAGTTAGTGGCTTCAATGAACAGAAGAAAATCGAACTACCTACAGCTAATTCACTGACACTGTCACTCTGGATTACGACCTATTTACAAAAGCGGCCTGTTACGCGAAGTACAAACCGGCTGTGTTGACTCAACTGCCAGAAGGGCAACCAAGTCATCGTTAAATCGTTCAGCTGTAACACCCTTTCGATGCCTAGCTGCCATGCCACCCGGAGGAAGCACGAGGGCTGGGATACTGCCAAGTTGCCCAAGCCTAGACAGGGGAAGTCGAGTGGCAGATGTCGGGTTCGAACCACGGACCTTCCGGTCGGTAAATGCGCGCTCTAACCAATTGGGCCATCTCACCCCAGGTCATCGTTACAAAACAACAACAGCGAGTGAATAAGAGAAGCAAAGTTCGTCTTAACTGCCAATTTGGAACGTACCACCACGCAGCTTGTCAACGGGGAGACGACCCACGAAGCCGGATCGAGTTGCAAACCAGATGGTGGGCGATTTGTTCGATTCCGTCACGAATAGCAATCGACAAATGGTCAAATCCACAGGGTCGGTAACACCCTCGGTATCTGCAATAGATGCGAGAAAAAAAATACAGCAAGTTTGTGGTTAGCGACCACGAGTACGTGTAACGAGAAACTAAACAGAATAATTGGTGATCAGTTAAGAAACCGGAGCCCCTTGCGAACCGATGACATTCATATATAAGCCAAAAACGGCCTAAAAAAAACAAAGCACTCTTCTCCTTTCAGTCCAAGGAAAAACACAGGATGGCAGTGTAAACAATCGGAAAGGGTACAAGCGGTAACGGACTTTTTAGCAAGATCTCACGGGGACTGGGAGGTGCCGTATAGGAAGTCAGGTTGGACATTGTCCAGGAATACTGCCTGATGACGAGGAGAATGAGGTGTGTGGTGCAGGATGTCCGAGCACGTGCCCGGTTGAACGATACACCGGGACTCTGGCATTTTAAATCTGGGAGAACAGCGAGTCATATCGACTGCATCGTTCGGATGTAGTACCAATCCGAAAATTTGAGGTAAACTCATGATCACGCAGCCAGCCTGACCGCGAATAGAATTCGCTGAACTCACTCACAGCATCCCTGTCTGGAATAGCGGCGTATGTGCCATCTTCCGCGTCACACAATATTATAGTAGAAGCAATTCTTGAAACCGAATAAGATTAAGTATTGGTAAGACAGCGGGAGGGCCCGATTGTGCAATTGTTCAACTCTCATCTGAGTTTGAAGAAACATTTACACGGATCATCACAAAATGTGAAAATGAGCGAGGTCTCCACAAAACGAAACCGATCCATCCGTTCACGACAGTCGTCGGGCTGGGAGTTCACATGGGCAGCGCCAACACTTCCATTGAATAGGAGCACTTCATTGTAGAAAATACGAGAAACATCAAATCAGAAAGTGCGTGCGCGGAAAGGCGATGTTAGTAGTTTTTAGCCACCCTCCCGCCACATACATGACTGTACAGTTCACCGACACTCGCTAGATCACGAGATCTAACTTTTTTCTTACACTCACAAATCGCGCCACAGAATCGTGACTAACTTGACTACACAGCTCACATTCAAGCCCTTGATCCCAAGACGCGTTTCCCCACACGTACAAATCACGACACACAAGGGCGACTCATCTGACATCGACTGTCTACCGTCCGATGAGTAGCAACAAGTCATGTCCTGATACCCACACACATGCAAACGCTCCTACATATACGATAACAGCACAGCAACAACACAACAGAGCTTCGCACGTCGCCCAACTCGGAGCAGAGCCGCTCAGGACTTACGGCGCTTCAAGCAGGGATATTCAGGAATACGTGTGGTTGCTACAACACCGAAAAAGACACGGAACCTGCATCCGGACTTACAACAGGATTTATCAACCTGTACTTGCAGTACGATAAGTCCCTTGCTCGCATATATACCTGTTGTGATAATTTTACTCAACAAGCTGATATTGTTAGCGCTCCTTGTTTTCTGGTTCGTATAACTATTTTTCGGGTTCTAGTAGAGCATTAACAAGTTTTCATTGCTGTAAAACCTATCATGGTCTACGAAGGCATAGAAATAAAGCGAAAATAAAACAGGTTTTATTGGCTCAGTGTTGATGAGTACAACCGTGAAGAGCCATATGGTTTTGTGATGACTGCGTTCAAGAACAATGCGCGACACGTTTACCGAAAGACTATTCTAGGCAACGAATAAACGGAAAATAGAGCAAACTCGAGAGGATGTGCACGCATCAGGTGTCGTCGGAATTGACAGCTTACCAATCATCGCAGAAAGGGCACAGGTCAGATCGATTCTCCTTAGAACTTCTTGGCGTTCTGCATCGAATGCCAATAATCGTGCCATTCCTTTGTTCGCATCGTCTTTGGGCATTGGGCAGCTCAACGGATCACCGTTGAGTGCATGCGCACTGGTAGCCGTGGTACCACTGCCAGACACAGCGAGCCACACAACTGTGGATGGAGAATCCGTGACGGGTTGAACTTCGATCGCATGAAGACAAGGAGTATCGGCTGGTAGTGTCAAACTAAAAAACAACAACCGATTACGGCAGGTAATTGGAAGATTGCGAGTTTTTGTTGCGCGCACAAGAGAACTGATGGAACTAACTAACAGTTAAGCACTGATGAAAATTTGATTTGATGTAGCCTAACGATTGAGGTTTGTTTGTTTTATCAGGCGAGTTCTGTTGCGACCGAACTTGGATCCGCATATAAGCCCCCCAGAGAGTCTGTTCACGTGGCACAACGGCCGCGCTCTTGTATGATGTGAACTGTGTGGCCAATTAAGAGTCACAAACTGTTACTGAATGCACCCAAGATCATGTCGATCGTTGGAATAAGGGATCCCACTCTAAAATATTGAGGTTATCTCTGATTTCAAGGGATGTTTTTTGACTAGACACTCGACCTAGAAACTAGAATCAGTATATTTTCATAAGGAAAATTCTTCGACAGCCCACGACCGGTTTCGCCCTTCCCGGGGCTCATCAGGTAGGCGCAGTCCCCTAGATTCCGTCAACCTTATGTTGTACTTGAACTCCAATTGGACTGTTTTCGAGAAATACACTCATTTGCAAATCAATTTGATTTTCATGAGAGACTCAACTGAATCTCTCGTTTATGATATTCTTTAACTGAATGTGCTGCACACAGGCCGCCTCATGATTCAGTTGGCACAATATTCCACATATCGCAGTATGGTAATGTGTTGAAATATTGGTAGCTAGGGTGCATTAGTTGGTTTTTGATCAGGTAGCTGTTGATCTGTTCGCCGAGCTGGGCAGTTGACTTGCAAACGTTTCATCACCATCCAAGGAGACATCTTCAGCACATTGGGGTATACACTGATTCACCATTGATTACGAAAAAGAAGGAATATTTGCCAGCATAATGCTTTAATATCTGCGAGCTCCACAGTGTAAGATGTCTTGCGCAGAGGCATTTGGATGACAGGTCGACCGTTACCCTATAATCTTACACAATTTTTACATCAGGATTGGCAGGAGTTCAAAAGGTCATGTCACCCACATCAGTCATTGTCCCAGGTAAAATCACAAAATATCACGCCGCTGATGAACGCGGTAGAGTGGAACGGACATCGGTGGGACGAAGGTGAGCTAAATATTTAAAAAAAAACAAGATGTAAATAAGTCGGTAGATACTAAGAGCAGAGAGAAATGCTGGCTAAGTAAACTCAGGGGTGAAAGTGCGGATGTGATATCCACTGATAAAGTTGATGACTACATTTCAGAAGAGCTTGGTAAACAATCGGTCGTTTTTATCCGGGCAACGTTTCGCTCTTGACACAAAGGCTTCATCAGGCCAAGTGAACAGGTCACCAAATTGGCCAGGTTATAGGACAGACGGGGAACCAATGAGTAAGTCCTCTTCACACTAGATCAGGGTTGAGTGTCAATTAGCGGCTCTTGTGTGGTTGCCATAATCTTGGATTGACGGGTTGGAGGAGTTTCAAAGTAGTTTCGATCGCCTTTTGTTCCTTAATCTTCCAGTTGGGGGTGTTTCACTTGATGATTCACCTCGGGTGCCACTGGTAGATTTTTCTTGATCTTCGTGAGCATGTGAATGTTGCGATAATTTAGTTGGGGGGAGGTGGTGCGTAAGGTAGGGGAGGTGCGTAAGGTTAAGTGGAATCCAGATGATGACCACTCTTCCCTCTGATAATCGCACACCAAAACGTGTTAGCTCGATTAACCCAAGACTACGTGTTCTGGCCGAATAAGTCGAGTCCCAAAAAGATGCACAACGGTAGCCTCAATCATTCAAAGGCTGTGTCCGCACTTAGATCTTGATGGGTTTACGCTGGTTTACAACCATGACCTACACAACTAACAATATT